AAAAAAAAAAAAAAAAAAAAAAAAAAAAAAAAAAAGATGGGTGTTGTTGAAGAAAATGTTTAAAGGATAATTGATGAATCTGAAAATCTGAGACGATAGTGGTAGTATTTGAACTTATTTTTTGTTTGTTTTAGATGACTAGTTTGTTTTTTTTTTTTTTTTTTTTTTTTTTTTTTCTAGAAGTCACCATTGTAATAACGACGACAGCGGTAGCGATAACGAGAACATTACTATTAGTTTAGAGGTTTATGACCTATAAGAGATAATTGTTGAATAAGTGTTTAACAAATATATTAGTTGCAGTTCAAATGTCGTGGGGTTTTTTTTTTTTTTTTTAAGTGATCTCTGTATATTTTTTGTTCAAAATTATTATTTCTTTGTTTGTTTTACTTCAGTAGTTTGACTTATTGACATCTAAAAAGGTTTACAACAATTAACAGGGTTTACATTCATTATTTTTTCAATTTTTTTTCTTTGATCTTGAATTGGTGAAGTTGAAAAGCAGAAACAAAAACTAATAATTTATTTAGATTTGGTTTTGTCAAAAAAAAGAAGCTTTTTTTTATGTTTTTCTTCGTCGAATTTGTTGTTTGTAATAATAAAACTTTTTTTTGCTTATTAGGAACTTAAATCTGACAGTCAATTAAGCTTTTTTCTTTTTTCAATAGAATTTTTCAAATACTTTTCTGTGCGTTATCATATTTTTAATTGCTAAAGCAGTGAACACTTTTTCCTTTTTTTCTTGCAATGGAACTGAAAAAGAAATGGGAAGGGAGGACAAAAAGAAAAAAAAAAGACGGAAACATAGACGGCGGTAGCAGTAAAGAAGCTTTGCAGCACTGTGAACAATAATAAATTTTAGTTCTTTACTATCCAATTTTTTTCCAGAAATTTTGCTATTTTCTTTTTTTTTTTTTTCTGTTTTTTCTTTTATTTTAATTTTAAACTATTGTAGAAAGAGCGAAGGGGAAAAAAAAAGAAATGAAATAAAAGCATTAAAATTAAAAAACTTCTTTTTCTAAATCAACGTATTGCTCTGTTTAATAGTTTTTATTTAGGTATTTATTTGAAAAAAAAAAAAAAATTAGCAATAGCAACAGCAAAAACAACAGCAGCTGCAGCAGCAGCAGCAGCAACGGCAACGGCAACGGCAACAGCAACAACACTGCTTTTTTGTTCACCTTCTCGACGCCGAGAAGGCAAGCGAAGAAAATGTGGAGAAAAAAAGAACGAATAATGCTTTATAAAATCTTTTTGAGAAGAAAATAGGTCTTTTTTTTTCTTACAA